TTAAAAGTACTTAATTTCCCTTGCATATGTCAATAACCAATTTACATTTCAAGAGAATGAACAAATTGTCGAAGGCTTAGTTGTCACATGTCTACAGCAACTTTCAAAAAGAAACCATTTTGAATGGATTTACTGACACAATCAAAAACCTACACTTGAACGTTGCAGATTTGAAAGCATTACACATAACGACACACCTTCGGCTCCATCTTCTATTACCTTCTCGTCTGTTACGTCAAAACACTAAAAAACAAGTAGCGTTTTTTTCTTCTTTCACTTTCAAATAACTTTTATATTACTTAGACCTTCAATAATAGCAAAAACAGTAATTTTTTTTATTCCCAAGTGGACTTAATTCAGCCATCCGAATGGCTCTAAATTTTCTATTTTCCAAGACTGCTAGCATTCAGCAATCAAGCGATGCTGCATTGTTTAAACAAATGTAAAAGTTATAAGCTGCACAGATGAAACTATCCATAACTATTTACATTGTTCTAGATCATAATTTGCATGGAGCGTACTGCTGATTCCTACTCTTATCTGCTCGCCCTGTTCGTCTTTGTTTACAGCTAAGGGATGAAACAGCGAGCTTACTTTCTGTTATTAATTAACCTTATGACCTATAATTTCGTTGTTTTCGATTCCACTATAACTCGTTCTTAAATCAAATTTTCCAACTACTACTCACTTAACCCAAAGTTCTTGTTCCCATTTTTTCAAATATAATCTTCCTTAATCCTGCGATTATTTTTATTCACAAAAATAAACCTCAGAGAAGCGTAAATGCGCGATATGTGAAAGTGCGTTAGGTGTTGGCTTCAGGCGTGTGCATTCTGCACTTATTTCATCATTCATATCATCTACACTACTGAACACATAAACTTTATTCGTGAAATGTCCGGCATAATCGTACCAAATGATGACACGCAATTTTTGCTCGGTAAAATCAACATGCACCGGATTTGGTAACTCTGCAAACATGAATAATAATAACAGTAATAATAATAGTAGAAATAATAGTAATAATAATAGTAATAATAGTAGTAGTAACAATAGTGACAATGATAGTAATAATAATAGTAACAATAATGGTAATAATAATGGTAATAATAATAGTAGTAATAATAGTAATAATAATTGGCCAATGCACCGACAGCCGGTGCGAAGATGCATTTTTTTGTATAGTTCCCCGCAGTTTTTGTCGTTTCCGGCAAATGTTCTAACTAACAAATTAAGACTGGCCTCCAGAGCTATCAGAAAACACCCCCCTTAAAATTTCAGCTTTCTAGCTTTCCTGGCTCGCGAGTTAGCAACTTACCCGAAAAAAAATTTCACGGGCCCGTACTTGGGTACCACGCATACCCAGTGTCTGAGTTTGAGCTCATTAATACCTACTTGGATGGGGAATATCTCCTTAAAATTCCATTCT